TTGAGTGTCTCGAAATTCGCGAGGAAAGTTGCGCTCGTTTCACTTGCGTTTTTAGGATATTCGATTATTTTGATAATATCGGAAATAAGATGGACCCTATCCAAGGAAAATAAAGAAATATATCGCATTGATAACATTTTAAGGCAAAACTATTTCATTAATCATCGAAAGATTATATATATATATATATATATATATACGTGGGCGTGTGGATGCGGATGCGGATGTGTGTGTGTGCGTGTGTGTGCATGCGCGCGAGCTGCTTACACGCGTATGAACATATTTATATATACGTGTATTATTGTATATACGCTCGGGCGTCTGTATATGTATTAAAATTGTTGACACTCGATGCAAAATATGAATGCAAAATATAAAATTCTTTCTATAGTTTTCGATGACAACGATGGAAATATTTTGTATTTTGTGTAATTCAGTCGATTCGTACTATATACTTTATCTTCGTTTCCTATATGTTCCTCCATTAAACTATTTGTACATAAAATCTTTAAAACAAAGAAAAACAAACAAACAATAAAAATTAAAAAAAAAAAAAAACAATAGACAAAGGACAAGAGACAACAACAACAACAACAACAACAACAACAAAAAGCCAAAACAAAGATAAAATAAAACCACAGTGAGTATAAGCTTATGCGATTATTAGTGAAGATATGCGATTAGTTTAGAAAGAAAGTAGAAAAGGGGCCCCCTGCATGAGAAAGAAACCAATAAACGTAGTGTACGGTAGAATTAATAATAAAGTTATTTTGCGCGATTGTGTGCATCGACGCCGGAGAAAGCGTTCGATCGCGCGAATATTTCGAATGAGATAGATAAATATCAGATTAGAGTTGTGCAGCGTAGATTGATTTTTCGTAAGAAAAGAATAAATAAAATGACGGCAGGTGCAATTAAATGTTACTATCGTCCTATCAAACAATTAAACGAATAATTGCAAAATACACACATACGTACATACTATATATATATATATATTTATGTGTGTGTTATGCGTATGTACGTGTGTATATAGATGTGTGTGTGTGTGTGTGTGCGTATGCATGCGTGCTTACATGTATGGATATATATATATATATATATATATATATAGAGAGAGAGAGAGAGAGAGATAGATATATATTAAACGCACGTACGTTTCTTTGGCGTTCGATTGTAAAATGTCGCGTATGTTATTCGAATAAATATTGTCACAAATAAAAGCGAATTTTTAGAAAATTACTTGTGTACTTTAATTTGTAATCCCATCCTTTTCACATCATCTTCATTACATAACAAATAATGTGATTAAATCCTCTGATCATTGTATCTTAAATTATACGTCATACAAATATAAAATTACTATGTAATTGCATAAAAAACTTTTCTTATTTGCAACGAATTTAAAGAAATAACAAAAAAGTCATTCTATTGTCCTGTAACATTGAGAAAAGTTATTATTATTCCTTTTTATTACATCCATTATTAAATTATAATGGAATATTGTATTAATCTAATGAAAGAAGTTATTAGTTTAGCTGCGATAGAATATGATACATTTTTAATACATAATAGATTAAGTTTGCAACACTTGGCGACACTTGCGGTGGGACGACGATGGGAGGGTTTGACAAATATTCTTCGCTGCGTATAAAACGAGATAGAGAAATTCAAAGAATGTTGTTTGAGTAAATTTAATTTTATGATAGATTTGACTTTAATTTCTCAAGGATATTTAAAGATTTAATTTGCCATCATACGGTTCATTATGTTCCCCAATTTCATTTATTATTGAATTATTCGACGTTATTTCACTCAATACATTCCCATCAATCGTGTGGTACAAAAATTTTAAATATTAAATGACAATTACAACAAAAAAAAAAAAAAAAAAAAAAAAAACCCACACACACATATACAGTAAATAAACTAAAGAACAAATTATCGAAATTAATTTTTAATATATTATAATATTATCTCTTATAGATAGTGTTACAATAGAATATTTATTGACGACACGTATTTCTCTTAAATTGTTTGCACAAATTGCGTATCTCCGACAACGTAACTTCTTCTTTAGTAAATACAAAGATTTTTAATTCGACAGCTTTTATAATTAACGGCTTAATTGCCAAAATCACCAATTCCTTCCTATTTTGCTCGACGCGACGATTCTATCATAGACAGGAAAATCTTAAATATTCTATGGCAATTTAAACTATCCTTGCAAGATGTAAAATCCCTGAAATAGAATGATCGTTAGGATTGCCTTGGAGAAATCGATAATGGGCCTGACAAATCCTCGAGCTCGAGCGTATTAAATTTCTCAATCAATGTGAGTGCGAAAAAAAAAGGTGAGACGAAGATAATTGATTCCGAGTGAAAATGACAGTTTCCTCATTGGACGCGAGACGAAGGAGGGATAAATAATAGAGCGAGTGCGCGCGTCTAACAATTTAAATTCGACGTTCGTGCCGCGCGTTATTTCTCAATAATTGCTCGTTAATCGCCATTGAATTATTGTGCAATTCCGCAAGCGCCTTGCAATCCCTCCTTGCATCACTGCATCTAATCGCTAGCGTCGCCGAGGTTAACGCGGTCATTGGATCGATGTGGGGAGGCCCCGATCTATGTAGAAAGAAACCAGGCGATCGTGGTCGATAAGCTCGTAGCCAAGCGCAACTATTGAAAAGAAGAAAGTAAAAGAGAGAAGAGAATTTGCGATGACGTAAAGAAATATCGATAAGAAAGATCGCTCGACCTTTTTATTTTTCACATTAATTGCAGTAGAGCTTCATAGAATACATATAATTTATGTAAATTCTGGCTTCCGGTTTTACGCAGCTCGGTGGATTATTATTGGGACAACGTAATCGATTATTCATTTGTTGTATTACGATTGTGTAATTGAATTACGACGGTATGATAGGCGAATGATACATTATTCCAAGTGGAATAATTAATTTAATGGAGATTAACAACAATATTACATGATTAATCGTGTAATAATTTAAACGAATGCATTTACATTTATTTATAAATTTTAATATTAATAATCAACGCAATGTTACGAATTGTTTTTTCTCGTACAAATTATAAATTTTGTTGGAGCGAAAGATTCGATTATTTTTTTCGATACGGTGAATCTTAATCTCGTAGGATATATGTTATAAACACAGATATAAACATTCATTGAATTTAGTAGAAAAGTCGATCTGTTACATGGCTGTCGATTGATTGTACAAAAGTAAAAATAAAAAGTACATATAATCGTATTTGAATACAAATAAATATTTCCCATTGTGAGAATAAAATATAGCGGTAGCTAGATTTATTGTTTTCAATTTGATTACAAGATTCGTTTAATCTTTTAAAAGTAAAGTATGTATATACAAATATTCTTTCGATAAAATTATTATCATTTCGTTTGAATCGTGAATTCGAGGCACACACCACTTATTTAGTTATCTTTTGCATTTCATTCTATTTTATTTTATTACTATCATTATTGTTATTATTTATTTATTTATTTTTTTTATTTTTCTTTTTATTTTTTTTTTTTTTCTATACAAAGGTAAATTAAAATGTAAGTCGACCGTGTGCTTTGTGACATTTTGTTATTTTGAAAGACAAAAATGTTTCATTTACATTATTATTGTCCGATGACTATTGGTGAAATATTGTTTTGCGATAAAATCAAACTCATCTTCAAGTTACACTTGGCTATTGTTTGTGCACAGAATATCGTTACGAACAGTCTCAGGCGTAATATGGATTATAATTATTGAAGATCGTGATTCTATTATTATTAATTGTTATCATTATTATACTCTAATCATGTTTTACCGATTGACTGACGCGTATACGAATAAAATAAAATACGATGCACTGAGGCGGTAATGAAGAAATGTAGTAGACGATGTTCGATGAGTTACATTGTGCGTTATTTCGTATATACATATAGAACAAAGAAATTCTAATAAACGTCTACTGCTTTCCTTGCCTATTATTATTACTCACGGGATGGCAATTTTTTACAATGATTCTTCTAATTTAGAAGCCTATATATATATACAAATTCTTTTTATATGGTATACAAAAGTACCTTAATATCTATACTTTCAGCACATTAACAAAATTCAAGTATTTTGTCCTTTCACGATTAAAAGAAGAAACAAAAATTATTTTATTATCTTTCTCGTGCAATTATCGCAATATCGACGACTAACACATCGGGTCTTCGGCCCTTTTTAATGTCCTTTCAAGTAAAAAATATTCATAGCGGTTGCTTGCTCGGTAAAGTCCAAATCCCGCCATGAATTATAAAATCAAAAAACGCTTAGAAAAATATTGATTTCGTAAAAAAAAAAAAAGTCATCAATACGTTAAGATTGGAAGATTCGCTCGTACGAACGAATCAATAATGCACCGGTAAGGATGAAAATTAAAAGAATTTTAATTTAAGAAACAATTGCTCTTGGATACTGTGCAAGTTATCATATTTAGTTTCGATAACCGTATCGAAATGTTTATTCATGAAAATAAAAATAATTTCTTTACAACATTGGTGAATTGAAAAGCTTGACGTACAAACGCAAACACGGTCGCGCGCGCACGCACGCACACAGAGTGAGCGCTTAGATCTACGTAAAAACGTGTTAAAGGGATTCCTTTACAATGTCGATCGAGCTGCTTTACCACCCGGTTAGCTTAGAATAAAAAGAAATTGCCGCTCGCTATCCGACAGAATAACTCATTTTTAAAATCTGCGAATGTCGGTAAAATGATTGAAGCACGTCTGGGATGATGTCACTCTCGCGAGCGCTTCCCCAGCCGTGTATTAATTTCCGCACCGAGAACTCTGGCCACGTAAGTGAAAAATATACATATAAATTTGTGTGGCAGGGACGATGACAAAGAGAAAGAATCGGCCACGAGAGCATTTAGAAAAGATAGTTTTTTAAAACACAGACACGTACGCCCACGCACGCGCGCACGCACAACAAACTCTCTATTTCGCAGATGCGAATGGAAGTGATTTAATGTGAACGTTCACCTCCGGCAAGAACATAGACATCCGTCGTCGTCGTCGTCGTCGTCGTCGTCGTCGTCGTCGTCATCGTGACAATCGACGCGTTTACTTAATCCGCGACGGGTACACTCGTCTCTTGGGTTTCCCGGAAGGCCGCCTCCTTCTGCCCGAGCTCCTCCTTGGCCGTTTTGCCCTCGGCCGAGCTCTCATTGGCGTTGTGTTTCTTCCTATGGCACATCATCGTCGACCTGGAGACGAAGGCCTTGCCGCAAACGTCGCACTCGTAGGGCCGCTCGCCCGTGTGCAGCCTCTTGTGAATGGCCATTGGACTGAACTGGGTGAAGGTCTTGCCGCAGACCTCGCATCTGTAGGGTCGTTCGCCCGTGTGGGAGCGCCGATGGCAGCGCAGAGCGGACCGTCTCGCGAACACCTTGCCGCAGAGGTCGCACTTGAAGCTCTTCTCACCGGTGTGCATCGTCGAGTGTATTTTGAGATCGACCCTCGTGAGGAATCCTTTACCGCAGACCTGCCAATCAACGAGGGCTCGGGTTAATACAGAATAATAGCGTGGTAGTGTTAGTGTTAGTGGTAGTGGTCGTGATCGTCGTAGCGGCCCTGGTAGTGGTAGTGGTCGTAGTCGTGGTCGTGGTCGTGGTCGTGTTTGTGGTAGTGGTTGTGGTAGTGGTAGTCGTTGTGGTAGTGGT